GCTGAGGATGGGTATCAGGGTAACCTCTCCATGGGGACAGGAAATAGGCAAAGTACCTCCAGAGATGGCTTCTCCCTGGGGCCTGGGGCCTAGCTGGGGAGCCCAGGCTGTCCCTGACTGGTGCTGCCTGTGGCACAAGGGCTTCTGGAGGTTCGACTTCAGGCACACACTTCTTCTGGCAAATTCAGGGATTGCTCCACAGGGACAGAGAGCATCTGTGTCATTGCCCCTGTGTCTGTCCTGAGAATTAACCTCTACACGGAGATTTGCTTTCCTGACAGGACTGGTTCTCCGGTGGGGTGTGGAGGCGGCCACTGGGATGCAGCCAGGGAGAGCACTGGTGTCTGGAAAGCAGCACTGCAGTGCAATTTCATTCACTCAAGCTCTGCCAGTGACACCTCCCTGCTGCTCTGCTCACAGGCTGAGGAGACCCAGGCCACTGCAGCCTCTCCACTGTGCCCTCAGCTGTTTGTGCTCTGAAGAAAACCCACGTGTCCTCTCCTGCGTGGGACAAATCTGCATGGGATAACTGGGGAACCCAATGAGTACAGGGATGACATCTGGGACAGTGGCAAGGGTGGAAGGAACACAGGGAAGGAGACACAGGCCATTCTGCTGAGGTCTGCTGGCAGCACTTTTCCCTCATCTTTCTCCTTCCTGTGCTGGGAGCTCTCCCTGACAATAGGAAAGGAGAAACAAGTGGAAATGGGCTAGGATCCTTGGGGGAACTTCTGCCTCATAATGCTGGGAAGGAGGAGGCTCATGGGGTGTTACCCAATTCAAGGTTTTGCTGAAGGAGAAATTTCAGTGGAAGTTCTGAGGAAAACTGAATTTGGGTGCTAGACAGGAGGCAGGATTAACAGGTAGAGACTGTGGCTTAGTGCTGTGTTCTGAACTGACTACGAGAATTACGGTGATGCATTTCAGCTGTAATTAAGTACTGCTTACCCCAATCCAGGACTTTACTGTGCCTCATACTCTGCCAGAGAGCAGGGGCATGTGTAGGTGGAAAGGAGCATTTCCAGGAGAGCTGACCCAAACTGGCCAAAAGGATATTTCCTACCATTCAACATGATGCTCAGTATGGAAACTGAGGGGAGCTGGCCAGCTGCTGCCTATCACTGCTCTGGGATGGGCTGGACACCGTGTTGGTGTGTCATGAGTGACAGTATTGTGCATCACATGGATTGACTTGAGTTTTATTTCTCTCCGTCTTCCTTTTTATTTACTCCTATTTTTGCTCTGTTTGTATCTCAACCTGTGAGTTTTTCCCTTTTTCCTATCCCACCAGGTGAAGTGTTCAGTAAGTGAGTGGCTGTAACAGTTGGTGCCTGACTGGGCTTAAACCACAACAACTTGAGTACTAGACAGCATCTCTGTGTCCCCTAGCTGTGGAATGAGCTGCAGCTCCCCTGACCAAGCCTGTGGGTCACACTCTGATGCAGTCTGCAACCTCAGCATCTTGTCCAGGGAAGCTGCAGGGTTCTGGGGACCAGCATGGAACACCAATGAGATGGGCTTCCAGCTCATGAAACTATTTATTCAGCACGTGAACAAACTCAGATCCAGAACAGAGAGCCCCGAACAAAGGCAGAGCCGGGGTTCTTGAGGGACAGAACTCCCTAGGGTCTCCACCCTTGAGGGTGGAGTTCAGGGTCAGTGACCACTAGAAACACCGTAAGGGAGAAACCCCCCAGGGACTCAAACTCAATCAGAACTCCTGGGCCTCCCTTCACAAGGGGATTGGGGTCAGACAATGTAACTCTTGT